AGCAAGTTGTTCGTAAGTTCACAAGATTAAGGCGAAAGGCAATCGTAAAATTTAATGTTGTCTTTCATAAGACGTTGATGTCTCTCATGTAGTAATGGCAATCCCTAGCTCTTAATTAAGTGTTGATGCGACATATTCATGATCAAGATGTTGATGGGATCCTAGCCTTCACTTGGTAATCCAATGGTGGAAATGAATTCAAAAGGAGAAAGACAATTGAGTGGGATTAACGCTATACAATTGTTAATTTCATGAACAACAATATTTTTTGGACATAATTAAGTCACAAATTACGTAAACAAACTAAGTCCAAGTTGTACTGTTCCTTTATTAACCAAGACCTTCAATGTTTGGTGGTTTAGGGGGGAGAGAGAGAGAGAGAGGTAGACATACCTCATCAAGCATGTTAACAAGCTTTGCTTTCTTCATCTGAATTTCTTGTCTGTCCGCCGTGGAAAGCTCAGCGCTGCGTTTAGCCCCAGATTCTCCTCCGGTTTGTCTTTCTCCGGCTGCCACTTCCGATGACTCTTCACTGGTCTTGGTTTGCATTTTAGCCCCTTTAGCTGATTGATCAGTGCTCTTAACTCCTCTACCGACATTAACAACTTCATCCAATAGTTCTTGTGCAGCCTTCAAGTACTTTGAACTCAAGAATACACTTTGCATGCCATTAACACCGTTTGAAATCCCCGACGCCGACGAAGAAGACCCACCGGGAACTCTCACATCATCGCCATTAGTAGGTGAAATCGTGGTCACCGTGGCCTGAGATGGTAATGCACGTTCAGTTCTGAAAGACCCATATCCTGGTTGTTGAGAAGAAAGACTCAAAGACAGTCCCTGTTGAGCGCGTGAATTCTCACGCGCCGCCGTGAGGTCAATAGGGTTGTACATATTGTACTGAAGGCGAGGCATGAAGCCATGATGGACCGAGAAGTCATGCTGGAAATGGACAGATGAAGGGTGATGATGATGAGGGTCTTGGGTTGATGCCGAAGCTGTGGTGTTGGCGGTTGCCTGAAGTGGGATGCCGACAAATTGTTGGGTTTGAGAGGGTGGCGCGTGCGATAAAGTGGTGGGGTTAAGAGAGTTTCCGGCGGTGTTGGGGTTGAGAAACACGAAGTTGTTTCCCGGAGGTGGCTGTTGTGTATCAGAGTATCCAACGTAGCCAGGGTTCATGAGAATTAGCGTCTGTAAAGCTTCTCCTCCGCCTTGGATTTCTGAATTTCCATGAAAGTACGTCGCCATCTATAGTTGAATAGGTGCACTATCTATATCTTCCTGTTTCACAGGAGAGAGACTCCGTTAGGTTTCACTTCACATCCAAATTAATCACACCTCTCTCTCTCTCTCTCTCTCTCATAAACTAGTTTATATAGTATGTGTGTACCTGCTGTTATGGAGGGTGGTTGTTTAGAAATTTCAACCCATTTGGCTGCGTTTCAGACAACAGTTAAAAGCTGTCGGGAATGGACAGTAACTGTAATTGTCTTCTGATCACATAAATCCTGGAAACATGAAGAAACAATACACAAACGGATGATTAATATGAAACATACACATAGACATAGACCCACAGGCCACAAAGTTCCAAAATTTTGATGAATTCCAAGAATTCAAGAGAACCCATCTTTATATTGTTGTTTCTTCACCTTCAAAAATAGTAGATAGCTTAGAAGGAAAAGATCGAGAAGAGGAAGGAGGTCTTTATCACAAAGACACACCCATGTTTCTTATATATAGTGAGAGAGAGGAGACACCAGAGACATATGGATTGAGGAATTGACAGAGAAAAGGTGAGGGAGAAAAGAATTGGTTAAATTATTCAAGTTAATATAATTGGTACCTGGTGTGATGGAAATCTGAGTATGCACGTGCTCCATCATCAGCATCTGCAAAGGAAGAAGAATTTTCGTTGAGACTGTGACACAAAACCCATTACAGATTTTTGAGAAAGAGAGAGAGATGATGATGATGGCCTTGAAGTTATTACTAAACTACATGATAAGAAACATCAAAATACAGAGACTGGCCATACCAACCTCTCCCTGATCTATAGCTATCTCTAATTCTCTATATATTTATATATCAGTGATCTTCACCGGAGGAAAGCCTTCTGTCTGATTAACACCACACCAGCTCTATTCAATTCTCCCACTTGATAAGGAAAAAACAAGTGAAGAGAGAGAGGGCTAAAAAGGCAGAGAAAAAAAGGTAATCATCTTTATTCACTCATTTATCCGCACACAATTTATCACTCTATTTTTCAACAAAAAAAATTAGAGAGAGAAAAAGAAAGTCATTTCAAATAATGAAGTGTCTGTACATGTCCCTTGGTGACGTTTCTATCTCAATCTCTCTCTCTTTCAAGAGGACTTTTGTGTCAAGAACCTGCGAATAGATAACAAGATGGGTAACTTCACTGATTTGACCCTCCTTTTCAAATCATTTGATGCAACCAGACCCCTTTGGATGAGCTACTTCAATTCACTTTTTAGATAGAGAAGTACGGGAGTGTGTGTGTGTGTGTTATATTAAAAAACAATGGTGTTATGTTATCAAAGTGTGTCAGAATATACAAACAGCTGAAAAACGAGGAAATGTCTCCTTCCATCCAAGTTTATGAAATTAATATAAATGGAAAATAAGGAGAAGACTATCCTAGCCAAAAAAATAATTTTAATATTTTAATGAATATTTTTATAATTTTTGTAATTTATTTTACAATAAAAAATAACTTTTATGGTGACTTATAATTTTTATGGATGTTTTTATAATTTTTGTGATAATTATTTTTATCATTTTTATGGTAATTGCAATCAATCCTGAAATTTCAAGATCAATTGTAAGATATTACAAAATTGATAAAAACACTCATAAAAATATACTCACAAAAATTATAAAAGACGGTATAATATCAAATTTTTTTTTTTTTCGGTATGATAGACTACTCCAAAAAATAAAGAAGGAAGGGGGATGATGATATGAACAGTCTAGTTACATTGGAGGGGGTTCAATTGTCATTATTTAGTCCATGTTGTCTTTTTTCTGGATACCTTTATTTTCTTTTTAAACATTTTTTTTGGGTATTTTTTTGTGGTTGGATGCCAGAGTTTGAAGATAAAACAATTAAATTGCTAGAGGACAGAAGGCCAACCACCAAAACACCCACCTTTAATGCTTAAAAAGTTATAATATCTGCATTCTATTCATATATGTTATTAACAAATGTATATACATTATGGAATATATATTTGAAAATTCAGATTTGAAATAGACTATGTCAACTTAATACCTACCAAAAAGATAAACAAATGGTTTGTTTATGAATTTGGTAGGAGTGGAAGACTTGTCATCTTAGTATTCTCTGCATTTGAGGCCTTTGATTTTGCTTTGCTTTTGTATTTCTTTGTCATGTGTCGTTTTTGGTTAATGAAATTGCTTACTTATAGTAAAAAATATAGGGGTTTTCATTGTTGCATTCTAGTGATTTTGTGTTTTTTTTTTGTTTCTACTATTAAGTGCCCTTGAGGTTTTTATTTTTTCACTTGTTTTTTCTTAGTCCCTTTTGATTTCTCTGGTGGTCCCTAATTGCATTTTTTTTGATTGAACAATCGGAATATTCGGATCAGTTTACGTTCACCTCGACTAATTTCTTTCTCAGTCTGGTGGTGTCTATCAATTTCGAAATTCAAACTCGTGAACTAAGTAATTTGAACATTATGATGACATCTGACGATTTGTGTTTTAGTGTACATTTCTGGTGATATTTGTTTATAGCTAAAAATGTACATTAACGATCTATGCATTAATGTATCTGTCTGATAATTTGTGTTTTAGTATATCTGTCTAACGCTTATTGTGTATTTGTTATTTTTAATATTTTTTTATTAAGTACCTATTATTTTTATTTTTTTATTTCACACCTGTTATTTTTTGACTCAAACGTGTGTGTGTGTGTGTGTGTGTATATGTTTAATTGCGGACTTGTTTTTTTTAATATACCTGTCTTACGATTTATGTTTATAAAGAAAAATGAGCATTCTGATGACGTAATTTTTTTAGATAGGTTTTTAAATTAGGTGATGACATTGTTATTATTTTTTACAATTGTAAAAGGCGTTAGTTATATCTATTACTTTGTTTTTTCAATAGGGATTTAATTCAAAAAAAAATTAGCCAGTAAGTTTTTTGGAATTCTATTGGGCCTAAAGACCGGCCTCCAAATCCCTCATCTTCATTTTTTTTCCCCAAAAATTCATGTTTTGACTCACTCCAAAACAATTTTTCCAAAAAAGATAAAAAAAAAAATTGTCCATCACCTCTAACTTATTTCTGTAAATCCTTCTATCACCATCGGCAATAAATTGTGTAACATTACGATGTGACAAATCCTCTATCTTTGATTCATACTTTGTTGTCAAACCTAAACTTTCATGTTCATTATCAGGCTACACACAATTTGGTGGTAGGCGCCATTAATATATATAATTTGTTGTAATTAACTGTCATTCTCTCTCTTATCAATGGATCGAATTCGAATCGATTAAAATTCAATCCCAATTTGAATATGATTTAAAAAACAAATCAAACTATTCGATAGATTTAATTTTTTTTAATCCAAATTCTTTAAAAATAAAAAATTTGGCTGTTTACACCAAAAAATAGCAAGATCACGGGGTGACACGTGAAAGAGATCTGACGGTCATAAAAAAAAATGTCTATGAGAGTCCACAATTGGCATAACGATTACAAGAGTCGGACTCTTAAAAGCTTGAAAAATAAAAAAACATGACATCATGAGTTATCAGTTAGAGATGATTCATCGCACGTCCACAATAATGGCCAGATGTCTTCGATGGTTGAAAGTCATATCAATAAATAGTAGAAGATAGGCCGCTTAAAAAGATCCACGATTAAACACAAACTCTACACAGAGTTAGCTTATCTTATACTTACTTTCCTTGTAATTATTACTCCGGTGCTCTTTTACTATTTTTATTTAATGTTAAATATAATATTTTATTCTACTTCCAGATTCTCATTCAATTTATTTTTTGTTTTTTATTCTCATTGTTCTCAACGGTGTTGTCCATTTCGCTTTTATTTGAAAAATCATTTAAGATTCTTGAATCATAAAACAGAGAAAATAATTTAAAAGTAATCTTACGTCTTACTATACCAAATTGAATCTTGATAGTACAAAGACATTGGCTGATGTATACCAAATTGAGTCTTGATAGTACAAAGACATTGGCTGATGTGTACTTATGATATAAAGTACCAAATTGATCGGACCGAAAACTCTACGCTACCAAAAAAATTTGGTATTAGCATTAATGGTTATCATTTTTTTATAATAAAATTATAATTTTGAAAGAAGAAGTTACAATTGCTTAATGGAAGACTATGATCGATTACAAATACTCATGATCAATTATGAACTCTCGGTATTACTCCCAATTTTTCGATCATGTTCTTTAAAATTATAACTTACATTTCAAAAAAATTATAACTTAATCTTAAAAAATTATAATTTATAGTACCATACCGCCGTAGGCACCGTAACCTTTCCCCTTCTTCAATGGCTATAAGTGAATGAACTGCATTAAAGGAAGAACATTTTCCCCAAGACATCAGTAGAGTTGCTATTTTAATGTCAACATTTATCACCAAAGAAAGCTCCATTTTTCATGTGTGTGCATGTTTATTCCTTCGCCTTGGTCAATACTCTCTCCTTCTTATAAACAAGTTGTACCTGGTACACATTGAAAGAAACAAGAGGTAAACATTCTTTTAACGTAAGACCTCCCAACAACCATTTCTACATGCAATTCGTTATTAGTGTGGCTCAAATAACTATATTTTGGTGATTATTACATGTATAATAAAAAATTTAAAATGAAGTCAGAGAACTGTCCATTGCCATGAAAACCATTGTACTTCGGATAAAAATTCTGCCCCCATCTCTCTCTCTCTCTCCTCTTCTGTGCCTGTGTATGTGATACATACACACATGAAGCGCACACATGTCTGTCGTATAGTGTACATATTGTAGGTGTGAATGGTCTCAATAGTATTGTGATGGCATGCGTGTTGTGTCGTATAGTGTACATATTGTAGGTGTGAATGGTCTCAATAGTATTGTGATGGCATGCATGTTGTGTCGTGTAACCCGTGTGTCATGCTGGCATCAAGATCTAAACAAAATATCTAATTAGTGTGTTCTGAGTGTCATATATTAGTCT